GCAGAGATATATGGAAAAGATTCTTCCTTCCAAAATAGCAATCCCTCTTTCTTATAGCTTGTCTCTCTTACATTTCTTAAATCTCTATATCATGTTTTTGTTCTTGTGTTTTCTCTCTTCTGTCCTAAGGAAGATCTTAACCTATTTTGATATGATGTTGTCTTCAACTTCCTTTCATTTTGGTTTGTTAGTAATTTCAATTGGAGTGACATTGTACTATTTCCCCCATTTGCATTCTGTCCTATTCACCGCCCATTTCCACTACTGGATGCAGGAAAATCACATTGAGTTATGCATTTTTTGTGTGTCCTGTGTGACACTCACCTTATGTTCTAGTGCCTTGGTAGCTAGAAAAACTTAAGCACGACGGTTACAGTGGAAATTAAACTGATATAGTCGCGGTAGGAGGGCTAATATGTTCTAGCTATTATTATTCTCCATTTCGTGCCATAAAGTAGTTAAGCCTGTCTTTGATAATTGATGTTTGAAAGTAGTTTTTTCAATGCTTATCTGGCTTATGTGCTAGTGTCTTGGTTCATGTGTCACTGGTCAGTGGTCACTCCTTTCTTTCTCTTTGATATCTTAGTTTTTTTTTTATATTCACTCTTTTTGTTGAACTAGAGAAAAACACTTTTATACATTTATCATGTTTTATTATGGTTAATTGTTTTGATGTTACACATGCTGGAAACCATGTTGATATCATTGACACGTCAAAACATTATCTTTACTTGGTATCTAAAATAGTTGAGATCAATTGAAAGCTTATGTGTGGCAGTTAGAATCAAGTTGTTTCAAGTTTATTGCAGTTGGAACAAAACCGCAGGAAAGTATATGGATGGTGGGTTGGGTCAGGTTCTAATATATGATTTGATTGATGGCCCTATGAATTAAGTTGGTTTGTGATGATGCTACTACTGCTACATATTTTTGATTGTATTAATTAGATATTGCATTGCATCGCATCAATGAATAAGCACAAGTTCTAACATACATATACTTTCCTCTTTCGCTTCACTCTTCTTGGTTGGTTCACCCTTTTGCTTCCTTCTTCTTCTGTTCTTCATTCAAACACTGAAGAAGTTGTTATTGTTGAGCGGAATCAATGAGTGCACAAGGACAAACACAAGTTCAAGGGATTGATGAAGCGGTTCTGGATGACATTATCCGCCGACTCACTGAGGTCCGATTGTCCCGACCCGGAAAGCAAGTTCAGCTCTCTGAGGATGAGATCAAGCAACTTTGTCTTGCTTCTAGAGATATCTTCCTTCAACAACCTAATTTGCTTGAACTTGAAGCCCCTATCAAGATTCGTGGTACTTACATACTTACCCCATTTTGATTTATTTGATTTCTAGGGTTTGAAATATCTGTTTTTTTATATGTTTATGCTTTTGGGTATCCTTAATTTGTTGCAAGTTTGGAACTTTTTGATTTAGGGTATATTTGATTTGATTGATTGTTAGGGATTGAAGAAGGAAATGTGACTTACTACACTTTTAGTTTTAGGGAATATGAAATTTGGAGGTTTGTGACATGAATTATGTTTGTGAACTTTTCTTTAAGTGTTAATTTGTTGAAAGATAAAGCCTTTTAATTTTAGGGTGTATTTGATTGATTGGTAGGGATTGAAGTAGAAAATGTAGTTTACCCTTTTAGTTTTTAGGGCTTATAAAATTTGGAGGTTTGTGAACTTTTTTTCTCCAAGTGATTATTGTTATCCTTAACCTGTTGCAAGTTAAAGCCTTTTAATTTTAGGGTGTATTTGATTGATTGGTAGGGATTGAAGAAGAAAATGTATTGTTATGAACTTTTCTCAAAATGTTAATTTTTTGTGTTTAGTCTTTAGATATGCATTTTGAGTTGTAAATTGCCGATTGTTGTTTTGAGTGAGTGTGTGTTGGGATTAAATTGAATTGAATTGAATGTGGAATTTTATTCTGGTATGGTTGGAATTTCAAACCTTTCTTTAAATATAGAAAGTTTAAAGTCATTTATGGGAGATATACTAGAAAATCAAATAAAAAAAAGATTTACTACATAATTAGTAATAAATGAAGAGTGAGAAACATTGCTGTAATAAAGATTTAGTAATAAATAAAGAGTGAGAAACATTAATATACTTCAGATCGAAAACAAACTTAAAAAAGTCTTTTCAAGACCCAAAGAAAAGAGTATAAATATAAAGTACCTGTTGCTATAAATGTTACTTTAGTTCAGGTTAATTCAGAATTCTCAATCCGTCCACGGCAACAGCAAAGCAATCATGAGTTCTTTGAAGAAGGAATTGTTGCAAAGAAAAGTGCCTCATGGTGAACTCGGGGCAAATTCATTGTTTGCCAAAGGAAAATGTATCAAGAAAACCATAAAGAATCATCCATCAGAATGTAAGAGAGCAAAGAATCATCCATCAGAATGTAAGAGAACAAGTGAAAGAAAAGTGGTCAATGGAGCATTGTTTGTCAAAGGAAAATGTATCAAGAAGAAAACATTGATTAGTATAGTTGCAAAAAGAGTAACAAAACCGGAAGAAGACGAGGAAAAATTTAATGATCAAGATACTTTATTCCAACAAACAGGTCATAAAAATTTTATTGATGATCTTGAAGTGAAGAAAAGTTTATCTAATTGGAGACAACTTAAAGTTCAAAAACAAAGGGAGTTGACTCGACTCAAACTTCTGAAGATTCAAAATGTTGTTGGTTTCAATGACAACATGGATGCTATGAAAGATTTTTACAAGTTAATTGGATATTGAAGTTGATCTCGTGATTGTCACAAGTATTTGAGTTTTTAGGTTATTATCTTTTGTCTAACTTGTGCACTTTATATCTTGTCAATATTGTATTATAACATAGTTTTTATTTTGAGAAATGAAAGTTTAATAAAAACATTTTTATTATTTTGTTTTTTATTTATTTTATTGATTTATAATTTTTATATTATTCAATTCATAAACTATTGGAATTTTCATCGAATGAATATGATTTTGGATTCAACAATTTCATTTCACTTATATGCAAGATAAGAAAATTTAAATTTAAATTAATTATTTTTTCTTTAGATTTAAAAAAGAAAAATACTTATTAGTAAGTAAACGTAAAAAATAAAAAACGCAAGAATAAATTTTAAACATTCATTATCACCACTATCTTATAATCTCTATTAAAAAATAAATTAAATTTAAAATTAATTTTTTCTTCAAATTATTTTGTATTAAATAAAATTATTCTTTGAAAAAAGTGTTTCAGTTAGTATAGACCTCTAAACAAGTTCAAACTTCAAAGGTGAGTTTTAAATATTTTTAATACATTTTAATAAAATATTATATGGAATTTATATTACTAAAGAAAAAAAAAGAATCCACCCCCACTAGAAAAACCAAGTCATTGTAAGTATTATTTGGTCTAAATTAAATGCACTCACTTCTCTTCAATTTTTATTTTATAAAATTAAGATTTTATAAAATAATAATAACAATAATAATAATTTGAACGAGGATGGGAAGCTCACGGAGACGGGGACGACCAAAGAAAACGGTGTCACCGCCACCGCAACCCACCACTCCTCAGACGACCCAGCCAAAACAAAACTAGGACACCGACGAACCACATGGGAAGCAACTTTCACAACATTTGGAAGAACATGCTGTAACAGGTGACAAAACGAAAACCCTTAGAATCAATGGAATCAACAGATGAGCAAGAACAGAAGCAGCCACGCAAACTTTGGGTTGATGTGTTGAACGATAATCGCAATCCAACTAAAGGTGTGTCAATGAAATATATCGCCCCATCAATTGTTGCAGGCGAGATTCAAATTACCATTGAAGACGAGGATGTTGAAACAGAACTGAAATTTTGGGAAAATTCTTTAATCATGTATGTGTTGGGAGGGGATCTCAGTATGAATACAGTGAAGAAGTTTATGGAAAGAATGTGGAATTTCATCAAACTGCTTGATATACACTACCACGAGGAAGGATACTTCATCCTCAAATTTCAATCGCATACGTATATGGATCAAGTGATGCTGAAAGGACCCTACACAATTCGAAATATGGCCATGTTATTAAAAGAATGGCAACCCGAATTTAATCTGAAGAATGATATGCTGCGTACATTACCAATATGGATCAAACTCCCTAATCTACCGCTCCACCTATGGGGGGAAAAGAACCTCAGCAAGATTGGTAGCGCAATTGGGAACCCTATTACAACCGACGAATGTACTGCGAATAAGTTTCGAATCTCGTATGCAAGACTGTTGGTAGAAGTGGATGTTACCCAAGCATTGGCGAAGGATATCCTTATTAATGATAGAAATGGTGCTAAATTGGTTCAACCGATTGAATACGAGTGGAAACCAAAATTCTGTGAGCAATGTCAACGGTTTGGTCACATATGTGAGGCTCCAAAACCTGTCAAAGTCTGGCAGCCAAAACAGAAACAGAAGGCTAACCATGTACGAACTGATGAAGCAGAAATGGTGACACCATCTATGGCTGCCGCTGAACCTAGTAGTACACCAATAGCTGAAGGCATAAATCTAAATATACAAAAGAATGCTGATCTTGAAAAATGGACTACAAGTACTAAAAGTGGAAGGGATAAACACCAGGGCACCCCAAAGGATAAAGTTCTATTGAATTGCACAAATGGATTTGGTCTGCTGGGGGATATGAATGTCTCAAAAATGTTGGTCGATGGTGATCCATGCTAGCAGCGTGGAATGTACGGGGGCTAAACAACGCGGGCAAGCTTAGGGAGATTCGCTCCCGTCTCCTAGAACTTCGTCCAAACATTATATCGTTACTAGAAACTCGTGTCAAAGTGAAAAATGTGGCTGCTGTCCGGAATAAGCTCATGCTGCGGGGAAGCTATGCAGATAACTACCAACATCATGCTAACGGTAGGGTATGGTTGTATTGGGACTCAAATGAAGTTGATGTAAAAATTGTTACCTCTTCTAGTCAATTCATCCACTGTGGTATTCATGACATGGCTGGGAATTTTTTATTTTGGTTAACTGCTTTATATGCCTTGAATCGACTCGAGCAACGTCGCGTATTATGGAAAGACATTGCTATCATTCACGCACAGCAACAAGGCCCGTGGGTTTTGATGGGTGACTTCAACAATGTCATCCATATCAATGACAGGATTGGTGGAAATGATGTGACAGAAACGAAATATACCGACATATGTAGCATGATGGATAATGTTGGATTATTTGAGAAGGAAAGTAAGGGAAGCTACTATACATGGTCAAATAATCACACTGCAGGTACAATCTATTCTCGTATTGATCATGTGCTTGCAAATGTTGAATGGCTCCAACAGCATACTGATATTACTCTCCATATTTTACCTCCAAGTGTTTTGGATCACTCGTTACTACTCATGACAGGTACTGCAAATGTACACAACCAGTATAGAAAACCAATCTTCAGATTTTACAACTGTATTATGGATTTTGAAGGATATAGTGCACTGGTAGAGAAAAATTGGAACGTCCCAATCGTAGGAAATCCAATGTTTATCTTGTGTAACAAGCTTATGCGATTACAACCGGCTTTGTGTAATTTCAGTAAACCAGCCTGGCATAATGACCAACAGCTTATTCAAGCCAGAAACCGACTTAACACAACACAATCCTCCCTTGAGGCCGACCCGATGAATGCTACGCTATTAACTCGAATTAAGGAGCAGAAACTAGAGATTCTAAAATTACAGGAACTAGAGGAAAATATACTGAGACAGAAATCAAAACTGGATTGGCTTAAGTGGGGTGATGGCAACAACTCGTACTTCCACGCATCCGTAAAAGCCAAAAACAATTCAAAGAACATATCACATCTCACCAAAGAGGATGGCACAGTATTGACAGTACAGGCTGATATTGAAAATGAAGTCTTAGATTATTATAAGAACTTGTTAGGCACTGCTGACAGCACAGTTCGTCACATTGATGTCGCCGCCATGAGAGATGGACCACAGTTAAACATGGATCAACGACTGTCCCTCTTGGCACCTATAACAGAACAGGAAATTCATACGGCACTTAAAGGTATTGGGGACTTGAAATCACCGGGAATTGATGGTTACGGAGCCCGTTTCTTCAAAGGTAGCTGGGAAACCATTAAATTTGATGTGGTAACAACAGTACAGGATTTTTTCCGCCATGATCGCCTATTTAAAGCATTTAACGGTAATGTGGTGACGCTTATTCCGAAACACTGTGACGCTCAATCCATTAAAGACTACAGGCCAATAGCAGGGTGTACCACTGTCTATAAAATAATCTCAAAAATACTTACTACAAGACTGGGTAAAGTTATAAGTGATATTGTCCATAATTCGCAAGCTGCATTTGTACCGGGTCAACAAATCCACAATCACATCCTACTAGCGTATGAACTTATTAAGGGGTACACCAGGAAAGGAGGCACCCTGCGATGTATGCTTCAAATTGATCTTCAAAAAGCTTATGATATGGTAAATTGAGATGCTCTGGAGTGTATTATGAAGGAAATTGGAATTCCAACCCAATTTAGTAGATGGATAATGATTACTGTCACTTCTGTTACTTATAAATTCAACATCAACGGGTATCATACAAAAACTATCCAAGCGAAGCGGGGACTTAGGCAAGGGGACCCTATCTCCCCTCTATTATTTGTTATTATAATGGAATATCTCAATATGTGCTTTCGCAAAATACAGAAGAATCCCAATTTCAACCATCACGCTAAGTGTGAGAAATTACATATTACTAATCTCTCTTTTGCAGATGATCTACTGCTTTTTTCTAGAGGAGACTGTATGTCGGTGGAGCTGCTTATGGAGGCTTTTAACGATTTCTCAGATTCCACTGGTCTCAAATTAAACCCGGCAAAATGCAAAATCTATTTTGGTGGGGTGGATGCGGATACAAAGCAGAACATCATTAACATTACCAAGTTCCGGGAGGATCCTTTCCCCTTCAGGTATCTGGGAGTCCCTCTAACCTCTAAAAAATTATCTATCCATCACTATATGCCGTTGATTGACAAGATTATGAGTCGAATTAATCATTGGAGTGCTAAACTCCTTAGTTATGCAGGGCGTGCCCAGCTTATAAAAAGTGTTACTTTTGCCATTGCGAACTACTGGATGCAATGCTTTCCTATTCCTAGATCTGCTATTCATAAAATTGAAGCTATGTGTAGATCTTTCATGTGGACAGGTGGAGCTGATATTAGTAGGAAGAGCCCTATTGCATGGGACAATGTCTGTAGACCTCTGAATTATGGAGGCCTGGGTATCATTGATCTTAAGATCTGGAATAAGATTACCATGATTAAACTACTCTGGAACCTTAGTAGTAAAACTGACAGCTTGTGGGTTAAATGGGTTCATAGTTATTATTTAAAGCATGAGGGGTTGATGAATGTCAGTATCAAACCCCACACCTCATGGATTATGAGGACCATCCTAAAACAGAGGGATAGCTTGGTGGATATTCAACAGGTTTGGAATCGCATGTTAACTAGTGATAAGTTTAGGATGACTGATATTTATCTGGCAATCTGTAGTAATGCCCCCAAAGTGATGTGGAAGAACATACTCCGAAATAATGTTGCTCGACCAAGGGCTCTGATAACGATGTGGTTTACGTGTCACGGAAGATTGGCTACTAAACAACGCCTTTTCCGATTTGGTATGATCACTGATGATAGATGTTGTCTGTGTACTAAAGAGGAGGAAACCATTAATCATCTATTATTCTGCTGTCCTGAAACGGTGCATATATGGACCAAAGTCCTAGATTGGATCCAGATTCCGCATGTCCCGCGACCGCGGGATGAAGAAATGGACTGGGTGTGCAAGAGCACGAGCGGTAAGGGCTGGCGAGCGTCCCTCCTGAAATTGGCTATAACGAAAACTGTTTATGGTATTTGGCAATACCGTAATGACATTTGTTACGGTAATGTTATAGATAAGACAAAAATTGGTGATAATATTATGGATATGATTGTTTATAGGGGATGGTATAACCAGAAACTCAGGCCGCACATTGCTCACTTGATGACTTATTAGTGCTTTTTGTACTTTTCTTTTGGTCTTTATGTCTTTTCTGAGGGCAGGATCCTCGCGATCGACTTGTACTTGTAATGCTTTTTGAATTAATTCAATCTTCCTTTGATTCAAAAAAATAATAAAAAAATAATAATAATAATTATTATTATTAATAATTATCTCCCAACTCATAATTATCTAAAATATTATTAAATGAATATAATTTTTTTTTGACACATTAAATGAATATAATGTTTGATCAAATCTTATTTTATGTGAAGACAAACAAACTTAATAAATTCAACCTAAAAGATTTTTAAAAATCAACTAGATTCTTTTATAGATTTTTTCAATGAAATTAAATGTTCAACGTGATTTCCCTTTCTTAAAAGATCTTGCGAGTAAATTTAATTGAAACTAAAAAATCAAAAAGAATGACTCCAAACTTAAAATTAAATGATATTAATATTAAAAACTAGATAGAATATTAATGTACTAATTATTAGAGTAAAGATACTATTCTTAGATAGAATACATTTGTATCAAACATTATTTTCTTTTAATTTTTGAAATTTGAAATCTATTAAATGTTAATTTATTTTAGTTTTTGAAAATTTGAATTGAGGTTAAGGATTAACGGGACCAATCTCACCCCATAAAATCGTGTGTATAAATTCAAATTGATCAAAATTAATTTGTAAATTGATGTAAAAAAATTGAAAATAGTATAAAATTAAATATTACTAGATGTCATCTTTGTAAGAATCACTCGGATTTAATCACAATTTAAATTGGACTATTAAAACTTACTAAATCAAATCAAACTCCATACATATAATTTAATTTTTTTTTTAGTATAATGTACTATATTAGTTTATTATTAGTTTGTTATAATTTTTTAATACAAGATTTTGGTAAGGATTGACTGATCTGAGTGATCAATTTCGCCGTCTACACGTCTCAGTGTGTTCAAATCTAAACCGGTCAAAATTAAATTTACAAATCAATTTAAAAAACTGAAAAATCGTATAAAATTAAATATTATTAAATGCTATTTTATAAAAATCTGTCGCATTTAATCACATTTTGGAACGAATTTCCAAAACCATACTAAATCAAATCAAATTGTGTATATATAGTTTATAATATATATTTATTTTTATTATTAGTATAGTATACTTTAGTCTATTATTAGTTAGTTTTTAAAATTTTAATACAAACTATTTATTAAATTTAAATATTTTTTAGATTTAATTATAATTCATGAATTTTATTCAATAATACTAAATTTTACATATTATATTATATGTTATACTTGACATTAATCATATTATTTTATCGTGTGTTTACAATATTATCTACCATATAAGAAAACAAAGGTTTTTGGAAATTATTTTTCTACCACTGTCTCATCTATCAACATGTCATCAATTTATTGAAAAATTAAATATTTTCTTTCTAAATCATAAATACTGAATGATATTAGTTCTAACCGAACCATATGTGTAGCATCTGAACCAATTATGCCTCCGTTTTGGTAACCTAATATACTTATTTTCCTACTTTCTACAAAACAAATCTTTCTAAATCAATTATGTGTCTAATCAATGTCTTTTATTCCGCCTTTCCATCACGTTTCCTCCTTCCCAATGTCATACTGTTTTTTTCAATTCACACGCTTATGCTTTCTAAATCATTTCATCAATCTCTCTCTCTCTCTCTCTCTCTCTCTCTCTCTCTCTCTCTCTCTCTCTCTCTCTCTCTCTCTCTCTCTCTCTCTCCCCCCTTAATTATTCTGCAAAATTTTAATACTTCTCTTCCATCATCAACTTCTTCTTCATGGGACTCCATCATCTTCTTCTCAATACATCACTTGGTTTATTTTCTTATGCTACTTTAGGGTTAAGACTTTATGTTTTCAAATTCTTTTCATTTTTCGCTTTCACTTTTCTATTATTAAACCCATTATATTTTTTCTCTACTATTTTATCCTGATTATTTTTTTTCTAATCTTAACAGGTAGACCCAGTGTTTTAAAAACCGGACTGGACCGGCCGATCGGACCGGAAACCAGCCTGGTTTACTAGTTCGATCGTCTGTGTCATCAAACCGGTAAAAACCGAGAAAAACTGGGTTAGGCCGGGAAAAACCGGGTTTAGGGTTGGACCGGTTCTAATGCATTTTTTATTTTTTAATTAAAATTTAAATGCAAAAGTTATAAAAATTTAAAAAAAAATTGTTAAATGCAAAAGTTAAATGCAAAATTCAAATGATATTGGTATGATATTAGTTATTCTGATAACAATTTTGTTACTTTAATTTATTACTATATGTTAATTGTTTAACTCTCTAATTTATTTGTTGTTACAGATCAATTAAATTTGGATGAAGTTGATGTCGAGGATGATGAACAACTTAATTCTGGGGAAAAAAACCAAAATAATAATATCATTGATGGGGAAAATGTTCCAGATGCGATTGATTTTACTGCATATGGTTTTTATATTGAAGAAGGAGATCCCAATATTGAAATAATTTTACCTCCTTGGAACTAAACTTAAGTAGGCATTGGAGTTATTTTGTTATAAATTATTCAATTATATTACGTTGCAATTAGATTTTGTAATTTTGTATTATTTTGTTATGTGTGATACATTTGTTTAAAATTTGAATTTAAATTATGAACTCGTGAATTTATGATGATATTTTCAAAAAATTTAAGTACTAGTTATATTTTTTTAGAAACTGAATCATCCAGTTCGACCGGTTTTATATCTATATAATGACAGGTCTATTCAACCGAGTTATCTGATTTAATTCGGTTTAGTCATGCGGTTCAACCAGTGATCCAGTGGTTCGACTGATAAACCAGTGACCCAATACCCTCACTGGTTCGATGACCGGTCCAGTTTTTAAAACACTGGGTAGACCAACAATATCGGAAAAGATCTCACGTTTAAGGTTTGGTTTCACTAGGTATATTTTTATTTTCTTTATGCTTTACTTTCTAATTTTTTTCTTCATCTATGATTCTTTATTTTTGAATGGATTTTGCGGGTTTCTTGAGTAGATTTTTTATGATCTGGAAATTAGAGAGGAACATAATGCAAAATAAAAGGATCATAAGAAGAGATTTTAAAAGACAAATTTTAGAAGATAAGGTTCACATCAGCGAGTATATTTTTATTTTCTTTATGCTTTACTTCACAAAAATTTCTTCTCCTTATAATTCTTTATTTTTGAATGAATTTTTGTTGAGATATTAGATATAATTCAAGTTGAATTATGCGGCCCAAGCCCAAAGCTAATTAGGGTTTATGGTTTGTATTTTACTTAGTAGTCAAGTCACTTACGTGTATATAAATAGACTCTTTGTAATTAAATTTTATTCATTCAACAATATCAGTCCTTATTTCCTTATTCTCTCTCTCTCTCTCTCTCTCTCTCTCTCTCTCTCTCTCTCTCTCTCTCTCTCTCTCTCTCTCTCTCTCTCTCTCTCTCTCTCTCTCTCTCTCTCTCTCTCTCTCTCTCTCTCTCTCTCTCTCTCTCTCTCTCTCTCTCTCTCTCTCTCCCCTCACTAAAAGTGTCTCATGCACTAACAAATTGATATCTAGAGCTTCAGTTAGATTCTTGATCGTGTTTTCAAGAATCACACATCGGAGGTCGTGTTCCCGAGATCCTGTGTTGTTGTTGATCAATCGCTGCAAAGGTGAATGGTAACATAAATTTACCAAACTCCCTTCCAACTCTTGATGGCAAGAATTGGGTTCGATGGAGAAAACAAATGCAATATCTATTTTTCTTTCATGAAACCCTAGAAGTGGTTAATAACATTGTTCCTACGCTTAATGGAGATGCAACTGATGCATAGAGAACTGCTCACAAGGATGCCAAGAAGGATCCAACTAATTTTACATCCAATCGGCGGTTGATGCAACTAATTTCAGCAGAATGGATCATGCTGAATAAGCGAATGAGGCATGGTATATTCTTGTCAAGTATTATGAAGGAGGTGAGAAATTCAATGTTATCAAGTTGTAAACTCTATGACGACAATATGAATTGTTGTTGTTGGGAGAAGACGAAAAGATTGTAGGCTATGTGTCGAAGGTGTAGAAACTTGTCCATCTCATGAAGGGTTGTGGTGAAACCCTAATTGATAAGATGATAGTTGGAAAGGTAATGCATACATTGACCTCTCATTTTGATCATGTTATCGTAGCTATTCAAGAATCCAACAATCTTGAAACCCTAAAATTGGAAGATTTGGTTGGTTCGTTGGAGGCACATGAGATTAGGATTGCAAAAAAGAAAGGATTTCAAGACTCGATACAAGCACTACAGGCTCATTCGTGGAAGAAGAATAGCGGTTCCAACAAGTTCAAAGGCAAAATTGACAAGACTCAGGGAAAGAAGTCTTGGTCGACTCCTCACATTGTTAGTACAGGAAAGACAAGGTATCAATAAAAGGCAAGGACGAAGGAGCTAACCTTGCACATCAAGATTCACACGATTCTGATGATATAATGGTTATGGCTGTAGTTGCAGATAACCATGTCGAATCTAAGATCTAGTTCCTCGACTTAGGCTGCTTGAATTACATGACCGGTCGAAAAGTATGGTTAGTAGATTTCTACGAGTTGAAGAAGAGCAAGGTCAAACTTGTTGATAATAGCTCGTTGTAAGCAGACGGTACTAGTAACATAGTTATTCAAAGGAGTAATAGACCAAAAGCCTTGATCAAAGATTTGTTGTATGTCACCGGAATAAAGTGAAATCTGTTAAGTGTAGGACAACTGGTCGAAAAGGGGTTCTCAGTGGTTTTGAAAGATGAAGCCTTATTAATTTTTGACATCCAAAATAACTTGGTCATGAAATATCCTATGTCTAAGAATAGGAAATTTAAGACCATGATTAGTTCGACTAATGTACAATGTCTGAAAACAGTTGTCGACCACAAGAATAAGTGGTTGTGGCATCTGATTTTCGGTCATCTAAACTTTAGGTCGCTCAATCAACTG